CAGAGTAACAATGTCAACAAATCTTATATGATGAATTAACTCTTAATCAGAAGTAATAAATGTCCTATACTACACAGTCTTTGATCAAAACAAGTAATTTCTAATGACTTATGAAATAAGGCAGAAAACATGGTGATTAAAAAAATGGGATGACAGTGAAAGAATAATTTTGTCAAGTGCCAAATTTGAAACTCAGGAGAACTAAAATTATATTCTTGCAGATGCCACAATTCTAAAAGCCATCTCCTTGTTATACATTCCTCTTTCTGATGAAAAACAAATTCACCCCTCTCCTATCTATTATTTCTCACCTATAATTATTTCTTGCATATAGATATCATTCCACAGGGCAGGGGGGACAGAAAAAAGGGGAAATTGTGGATTGCAATTTCCAGATCTTGTGGTGTCAAACAGCTTGCTGAAAATGTCAGTTACCCATGGAATGGTAGGATAGAGCTGATTGTGCAAGCTCTTCCTTTCAATATAAGGCAGCATGGCTGAAAAATCATGGTCCAATGATCTAGCATGAAGTTGTAGTTGCAAATAAAGTATTGATTGTGTTAGCTGGAAAAAAGACACTAAATGTCTTACACAGAAGTATAACACACAATAATGTATTGCTCTTGAACCTCATTCCTTGTGGGTAAAAACACCAGACACTCAGCTTGTGCAGAGGTGTATTTTCTGCTTTCACCTGAAAGGTTGTTGACACTTGCATTAAGGCATGAAACTCGTCACCTTAGCATTGCACACGTAACCTGAGAACTTTGGAAATGATGAAATGCAGCATGTAGCTTCTCCCCTGGACATCCTGAGTGAAAAGTAATTTATTTTGATTGACACTTCAGTGTTAAAATGTGGTACTTTATAATACAGAGAAACTGTTACAGTAAATGGTTTCTTACACCTATGCTGCAAAACATGCTTAAACATGCAGATCCTGTTACAAAATTTTTTATTCAAACAAAGGCTTGGAGAAAAAGCAATCAGAACACAACTGCATAGGGAAAGAAAGGCAAAATAGCCCCACTGTTGGAACAAACTCTGGGAACTTTGTTTAAATAATAAAGGAATTACTAGAACTTTCTGCTTAGGTTTTTCAGTGCGCAGGGACAATGCTTTCCTTATTCTGATGCTAGAATTCCAGTGGCCATAGTTTGAATAATGTACAGAATGGATAGAGAGTAACAAAAGTCTTTCATGTGTTTCATTAAAGCAGAAAAAAAAACCCACCCAAGAAAAACAACTGTATCATTTGAAAAAAATAACTGAGGAAAGCATTTTTTTCCTCCCTTTAGTGAAGAGATTGTTTTCTTTAAAAAAGCCTTTGTTGACAGCCTCTCAAATTGCATTAAAAGTCCATATTTTTCTTTCTGGGAGAAGAAACTTGAATTAAGGTTATTAGGAGTTTCTGCTGTTGTAATCTGAAAGGGTTTCTTCTTGTGTCAGTAACGAATGAATACAAAAGCAGAAGAGTCAGTAAATTCAATTGTACAGTCTTTCTGTAGTGCTAACTCTAATATGCAATTCCATTAATGAAAGAATATGACCCCATTATACAATGTTATTTAATCTGTGGATTGTGTTACCGTTTTGGGGGCCATTTAAAACTCTGCTTTTCGTGGCCTATCTGGTCATAGCCAAACAACAGAGTTCCAATATGTTAGGTTGCCCTCACAGATTCATTTAAGTACATGGGTATAGACTATTTTGTAAAGAATGTAAAAGAAGCCTTGGGCTTATCTTCATGCTAATGCAGCTACATGTCCCCTCACTCAGAGCTTCCTTGTGTCCAGCCAACTGGAATATATACTGGGGGCAAGAGAAAATACCTACAGGCACAGTAAAAAAAAAAAAAAAAAAAAAAAAAAAAAAAAAAAAAAAAAAAAAAAAATCCCACACTGCAGCTTTTCTTTTCTTCAACATTTAGCTTCTTTCTGGTCTCACTGTATTTGGATGATGATATAACAGCGTCTTTGTGTATCTTAATTTCTGCAAGAAACAGTAGAATTGCTGCTCTCAAAATAGTGCTCACTTTTCCCTGCTCAATGATGCGGATAAATACTTTTCAAAAATCTGTGAACTCACTAACTCACACCATCCAAAAGAAAACTCGTCTCTTTCAAGTGGACCATTACATATCTTTTTATAATTTTAAATAAATCTGTGTATCATTCAATGTGGCACTAATTTGCTGCTTTCATAAACAACTGTGAAGGACAGGCTCAGTTGGACTTCTATTACTTTGGACAACCATATCTGCCCCTGGCCACTGCTGATTTGATGTCACTAATAGACAGCTTTATGCGGGTGGGTAATGAGTGTTGTGCAAAACATCCGAGTGTTCTGCAAAGCTGGTTGTCTTCACTTTTTTTTTCAAACTTGTATTTCTTACCAAATTTTGTCTTTATGGAGTTACAACACATTTATATAAATACTGTCAGTTCCAAACGGATAAAAGGAGAGAAAAGAAAATCACTAAGAAGTTAATTAAGGAATGCAAAAGCTTGTCTGTGCAGGCTGTAGAATCTTCACCCTTAGGGCCTTTTGAGACCAGGCTGGAGAAAGTCCTGAGTGATGTGGTTGGATTTTAGTGCTGACCCTGCTTTGAGTAGAAGACTAGACTACAGACTGCTGCAAAAGCACCTCTTTCCTTTCTAACCTGAATGAGTCTGTAGTTCTGACTCATACTAGTATTACTAAAACACTTCCTTTGAAATTTCTCTCTGTATAAGCAAAGAATTCTGTGAATTTCAACACAGAAACATGATGCATTGGTGTTGAAGAACTCTATTGTTCAAGAATCTACAAATTTAACATCTTGAAAAGTAAAAAGAAGATAACATTTTAATCATCTATGTTGCCTGTTGACATGAGGGGAAGAGAAAGAGCAATTTTTTTTTTTTTCTGTGGCATCTTAGAAAATTCACATGCACATTTTTATCACCTTGACTCGCACAATACTATGTTAAACCTCTGCTTTAGAGATGTTCAGCTTCAGCAGCCTGGTCTGTCAGAGTGAAGAGACTTCAAAAGAGTTTTTATCTTTCTTTGGGGGGGATTCTGTGCTAGGAGGGAAAGATGGAATGAACAGCCATCAGATATCAGAATTATTTCAAGTGAAGTTTTTCTTGTCCCTTGTTCAGTGTAACTAAAAAGTACATATTTTTCTCAGCCTTTTCTGAGCGGAACTGAGAACAGTGTTTCTTAGTTCTGAAAGGAAAATTGAAGTTATATAATTATTTCACCATCTGGTGAATGATGTGCAGAGTAATAATTGGAACGTACCTAGAGAACTAGAAGGGAAGTTTGGTTTGCCTACAATTTTCACAGACCTGCTGCATAAAAAGTTGTCTGAAGTCATTACCCATGAGTGAACATAAAGTCAGGCCAATTTAAACAGGATGCTGCAGAACAGCCACCACAGACTTGCTTTTGCAATCCTCATCCTCCCATCTGCTACAATTGCATGTTGACCAGCATATCCCAGAAAGTCTTCTGGACTTTATACAAACCACAAGTCACACAGAGAACTGGCTAGGCTGGTCAGTGTTACTTTTAAAGTTTTAACAGCCTTAGAAAAACCAGTACTTCTGGTGTTATCAAGAAAGTACGCTGCCCTATTTGTACAGTATATTAATTATTCCACCTGCTTCCAAGTTCATAGATATTTCCCAGATTATCCTAATAACAGCAACAAAAATGCATTAATGGATCCTGTAACCAATTGCTCCTAAATTTCTGCTTTTCTCCTAGATCCTTTTTAAGCATTGTTTTTCAGCCAACTCCTTCCCAAACTCATTTGGATGAACTTGGACTGTCATCTGATGCACTGAATGAGATGCCTGTGACCACCCACAGCGGCCAGATCTTTTCCCACATTGTCAGTGTTCAGTCATGAAGTAAGCACGGCCTAAGACCCTCCAGGTGTACTGCACATATGGTGCCAGGTCCATTGTGACTCTTCAAGAAACAGAAGGGGCCTTGAGGACTTTCTGGACTGAAGGTCTTGCTTTTTTTCTATTGAAAACTACAGGAAGCAGCCATTCCCCTGTTCAGCAGGTACACTGCACAGCCTTCCAAACATGATTTCTATGTGCTGGCTTCAGTGCCCCCCAGCGTGGGGCCTACAGTCTCTTCACAGCAGCATCGGGCTAATGGCTCTGTGGGACCCACGGCCAATGGCAACAGTGACACAGGCAGGTGATGCTTTTGCCAGCCAGCAAACAGCTAATGAGATGTGGTAAAACCTGAGATTTCATCAGTCAGGGTTGGGGATTCCCCTCCTTTTGAGATCACAACGTTTGCTCCCCCAAGCCAGGCAGGTTTGGAGCGGCCCTTGTGGCTGCAGTGGTTACTGGCTGGGATCTGCCTCTGTCCTCACTGCTCGTGCTGCAGGATCCATCCCAGGATCATTGTGGCTGTGCTCCACCTTGCCCAGACACCCGGGCAGCACTTCACGACTGTCCCGGAGAGATGTCAGAACCTCGCTGGTCCGTCAAATCTCCTCAGCTAAAGGCTCAGTAGAGACCAGTTCTTAGAATATGGTCTGAGGAGAAGCTCTGAACTGTTGGATGGGGTTTTATCTCGCTTTGAGGCATCCTTAGGGGCGTGGCCCGGGCACGCTGTGTGTGTGTGGCATCCTTTGGGACGTGAGTCGAGCACACTGTGTGTGTGAGTGGCATCCTTTGGGACGTGAGTCGGGCACACTGTGTGTGTGAGTGGCATCCTTTGGGATGTGACTCGGGCACGCTGTGTAAGGGGCATCCTTGGGGACGTGAGTCGGGCACGCTGTGTGTGCGAGGGGCACCCTTTGGGACATGACTCGGGCATACTGTGTATTTCACTGCACGAAGGATCCCGACCGCCAAGACCCCTCCAACCCCACCTCGCACCCTTCCCACCAGCTCCCGGGGCTGCGTTAAGTCTCGCGAGACTTGAGGCCTCAGGCCCCGCCTCTGCTCTCGCGCGATTTGCCCCTGCGCGCGGCAGTCGCGCTGCAATGGCGGCGCCAGGCTGTGGGGAGCTGCGGCTGGGGGGGCCGGGCGGTGCCCCGGGGCCGGTCCCGCCGCTCCCCGGCGGTGTTCCGGGGCCAGGGACTGTCCCGGGGCCGGTCCCGCCGCTCCCCAGCGGTGTCCCGGGTCCAGGAGCTGTCCCGCCGCACCCCGGCGTGTCTCGGCGGCGCGGGCGGACGCTGTTGGTGCGGCACCTGCCCGCCGAGCTGACGGCGGCGGAGAAGGAGGATCTGCTGCAGCACTTCGGGGCCGTGTCTGTGCGCGTCCTGTCGGACCACGGGCGGCTGGTGAGGGCTGGGGCAGGGCCGAGCCAGTGTGCCGGACGAGGCGCGGTGTCCCCGCGGGCCGGGCGGGAGAGCGGCGGGCTCGGCGTTCCGCCTCCCCTGTTCCCCGGGCCGCGGCTGCGGCCTCGCTGGCTATTAGAGGTGGGGCTGGGGAAGAACAGTGCAGGGGTGCACTTTCACAGGTGTGTCTCTAGAAATCTCTATTTGTGTGTTGTTTTTTTTTTTTTCCAAGTTACAAAAACACACAAAATCAGGCTTTGATTTAGTTTGAAAAGCCTGCATTCTTTTAAAACCTAAAAAGTAGAGGAAAATGTTAGTTAGAAACCATTCAAATGTTCAGAGCACAGCAATAGTTGCAACTTTTGTAGCAGGAATAGTGTTACTTTCAGAAATTGCTTTGATGAAAATGTGCTAGTGCGAGGTGCTGAAATAAGTTTCTTGTCTGAAAAGAGGTTTAGATCTCTTTACCTACATATATTTTCTTGCAGTTTAGGATGGGTTTTGCTCATAGGAAAAAACCTTTTCCTGTGTTCCTCAAACTGCTGAGCTCTTGTCTTGATTTTTGACTGCAGGAGGTTCATCTCCTAAATTCTTAAGAAAAATGATTTCTAGTCCTTCATGCTTGCTCCATGTGGGAGTTAAGTGACTGCTGTCTGGAAGCTTTCAAATATTTAAACTTGAACTCACAGATTTCTTGTGGGCATATATTTTACATGCAATCTCAACTTTTTGAATGCTGTATAATATATATTATATACAGTATTTTTGTTTGCTTGTTTTCTAGAAACATACTGCTTTTGCCACTTTTCCCAGTGAAAATGCAGCTGCAAAGGTTTGTATTGAGTTTGTTATTGAATGGTTTGGCAAAACTCTTTTCTGGATTGCCAGTTGTGCTCTAAAATGTTTTGCACATCATCTAGTATTTAGTGTTAGATAAAAACAAAGCAGCACAATTTGGTATTACAGTTCTGGTTTGGGATTTGCTTGCAGGACTTGATGAAATGAACACTTCCCTATATTCCTAAGAAAGGTGGGTTGAAAAGTGCTTATGGAAGTCATCTGATCCAACCTTTCACACAGAGCATGTCAAACTTAGAGGAGCTGAGATTGATCAGGCCACTGTCAAGGATGTGTGTGCATTTATGTACAAACTAAACCAAACATAATTTTCTAGTTTCCTGCATAATTGCATGTTTGCCATAAAATTCTCTAGTGATGTACACAATTCAAGGCTGCCTTGAATGCCCAACTTTAGAAAACTACCACATTAGTGGGGGACTTAGATGCCAAAAGGCAATGCTAATAATGCTTTTTAAATACTAGTCTGCTAAAAAACCTGTGTCTAGAATTCCACCCTTATGCCCTGGTGTTTGGTGTTGGGTTTTTTTTTTTTTTGCATTGCTTCTATTTCTTTTAGGCCACAGTTTAGAGGAGTACTCAAAAAGTTACGAAGACTGTGTGAGGTGAACACTGGTGAATTAGGTTGCTTGTGTCAGTTGTTAGCAGCCTGTTGTGTTCTGCACTTGCAGAATACTGGATCTTTCTAGTGTCACTGTTAAAAATCTTGATCTTAAATTTCCCAGCTGTTACTAAGGGAGTTCAGCATGTTTGTAGTTCATGAGCAAGAGGCTTGAAGTCACAGAGATGTACTAGTCTGTGTAATAAGTATCATGCTAAAGCTGCGGTCCTGCTGCTGTGTTAAGGTGACCAACTCTGCTTGTCTTTTCTGCCAGCAGGAAAGAGGAACTAAAGGCAGGGCTGTGAAGGCAGAGGCAGCGCAGGACTGCCTGTGTCCATAGTGGCACAGACTTAGTTTAAAGCAGTTGGGACTGCACCCTATGGCTAGTTTACCAATCCAAGGAAAAACAGTTATGCTTTAAAATAAATCTCATGTTTTTCCTCTTCCCTTTCTTTCTTTTCTCCACTAAAATTTACTTGAAGGCTTTATCAAGGCTGCATCAGCTGAAACTTTTAGGTCACACCTTAGTTGTTGAATTTGCGAAGGAGCAAGAGAGTGTTCAGGTCCTTAGCCAGCCTTCTGTCTCAGAGAAGTGTAAAAGGTATGTGTATAATATAGTTGTGATTGTGGAAGTTCCATATCCTTGATACTTTGATAGTCCTTTTAACTCAAAGGAAAAATTGTAACCACATGGAAGTGTTAACAAGGAGGTTCAGATCCACAGTTAATGACTGCGTTCCTCCCATTAGAACTGTGTCATTACGTCTGGAATATGTAACTAAGTGATAAAAGCTATGTGATAGGGTTTAATTAAAACAACTGCAATAGAGGTTTCAAGTTACTTATTCCACTCTCTGAGTATGAACAAATCAATAATTAATACCTTTGAATTTTTACGGTCTGAACAGAGCACAACGTGAAATCATTTTAGTTCTTTTCCTGTGAGTAGATTTAAGTCAGGAGTGTTTTAAAATAGGGAGGCTTCCTTAAATCTGTGTAAGTACTTATTTTAGAAGACTGGCTACTATAATTGTCCACATGTATTAATTCTGAAGCAATGATAATGGCTGTAGTAATACAGATAAAGATGTTAAAAATACCTATGTTAATCTATGTCTTGTATTTATTAATAGATAATGCTCATTTTATGAGGCATTTAAATTTTGCCCTCTTTTAATTAAGAATTAATTAATTTTCAGTTCAGAAGAACCAGTGAAAGAAGAAGAGAAGGTAGAACCAAGCTGTGTTAAAATAGAGAATGGAATTGCACCGAGCCATGGGTTAGTGTTTTTTTTTTTATTTGTCTTAATTATTTTATTCTGTTACAGGTTATTTTGAAATATGTTATGTACTGTTGAACAAGAGTTTTGTTTCCTAGTATGCTCCTGTTCCACAGGCACAGCTGTAGGAGTTGTCATAAAGATGAAGTTTCAGTTCCTCAAGTTTAAAATCCTCACAGTCAAGTAGTGACTGGTGCTCTGAGCCCTCTGGCACTAAGCATTGTTTTCTCAGGGGGAGTGTGAGGGCTGGGTAGGTTGTCCCAGTGTTAACAGCAGAATACCACTGATTTTTAGTTTTCTGGATGCTGCTGCTTCTTCCCCCACTGCCCCTTGGCATTTTTGCATACATGAAGAATAAATTTTTCGGAGACTAATAAATTCAGTGCTCTTGAGTACTGAGTTTATGATGTTGGCACAGCCTGCTTTGGTTTTGGGTGGTTTTGGGTTTGGATGTGTTGATTGTTTCTGTGTACCGTAGGCTCTCTGCTTAGGTTGATACTTCCATTGTGCCCAGCCCAGTAAGTCTGTCATGCACTGGGGACCACTCCCTGATGTTAAAGACAATGTAAGGGTCCCAAAGCTGTTCTAGGGAAAATAATAATATTTCAGTGTTGCTTCAGATGTAATGAATAGTTAAGCCTCTGGTAATCATTAAGTGTTACCAGTGGCAGTGGTGTTAAGGTATCTTGTTTTTAATTTTTTTCCTCAGCCTCACCTTTCCCATCAATTCCTGCCTCAAATATTTGTACCCACCACCTTCAAGTGCAATTCTAGCAAATATAGCAAATGCCTTGGCAAGTGTGCCCAAATTTTATGTCCAGGTAAGTAAAAAACGGGAAACAAAATAATGTATAAAAAAAATCAAATCTCATTTTTCCTCTTTCAGTTATGCACCGAAATTATTATTTTTGTCATAATAAATAATAAGTTACTTTTTCTGTGATAGTAAAAAATTAAGATTTAATTATCTCAACATAGTGTTAATCAATTTTATTGACCAGAGGTAGCTTACTGAAGACTTAACTGGATATGCTGTTCCGAATTAGGAAGATGTGACTTGAATACTTGGAATTTCAATTGAGAAGATGCTTTACTTTTTTGATAAGCCTTTTTAGGGTGTTGCTTTTATTTACCATTAGTATTGCATCTCAGGTGGGGGCTTTCACATTGTTCATTAACATTAAAACTGCTGAGTTTCACCTGCCAGGAGTTACTGGCTATGCTACCTAGCAAGGAACTGTTGTCACTTATTTGTTTAAAGAAACCTTGCTTATTTTGAATAATTTCAGGTACTTCATCTAATGAATAAAATGAATCTTCCTCCACCTTTTGGACCAATTACTGCTCGCCCTCCCATGGTAACTTCTTAAATATATGTTTTAAGTACTGTAGAAGTGATTCACAATTTAAAATGTCAGCAATATGGTAGGAGGTCTAAAAGCTGGAGAAATCTCTAGAGGTTAGCAAATACTGCTGCATTTCACTGGGTGCGATGTGCGTTGTTGGTCCTCTAAAGAAATCTTTTGGGCTGTACCTAGAACAAAGAAATACATGTCTGACAGTAGCACTAGAATGTTTCAAACTGTTGGCTCACTGTAGAAACTGAGATGGCTTTGGAGCTTAGGTATGTTTTGACCATATTCTTCTCAGGAAAGTCCTTAAAGCTGAGTGCAGGGTGAATACCCAGGACCATGGCTGCTGTGTTTCTTATCACCTCAGCTTAAAAGAATGAAAACATTCACTGTCGAGCCTCAGAAAGCAGCAACATTTTCATTTTGGTTGTGGAAAGCTTTTCATTACTAATGTGGTTTACAAAAATAGCATCTAGATCTCTGTAAGCATACTTTGAGAAAATGCTTCCTGTCATATTATAATTTATTGCTTTGACTGTTTTTATTAAGTAAAGGAAAGCAAGGTACACTTTCTTTTTTCTTGCAAAGTTTAGATACTTTTTTAAACTTTTTCCCCATAATTAGTATGAAGAGTATTTACCAGTGCCTGTGCCACCTCCCCCAATCCCACCTCTGCCTCCTGAAGAGCCTCCTTTGCCTGAAGAGGAAGAAGAGCAACTGTCTAGTGGGGATGAATCGGAATACGAAAGTGATAATGATGAGGAAAAGGAGAGGTGCGTGTTTTGCAGTTATTTGCAAGCTTCTGGGCTTGCCTAAAGTGGTGGGTGGCTTTACTTTTCTAGCTTCCAGTTCAGCAAATGGTGGAATCTCTCTTAACATTCACAGTACATAGATCTAATATGTAGTAGATAGCATATAGAAATCTTTCCAGATGCGTGGAGAAACTCCAGATCAACTTAAAACAGCGCTGTCCTGTTACTAAATGCAGTAAGAAAAGGAAAACGGCCTCTTGGTGTGCAATTTATCATTTGTTCTCACATCAACACCCCCCCCCAACTAAACAATGCAGTTATAAGGAAGCAGTAATTAGTTTGTTTTCTGAATTCTTCATTATTCCATGTCTTTACTGAATTAACTACTCAGCCTAAATCATATATTAATAGTTGGAGGTTGTGTGCTGAGGATGCTCTTGCAGTTTTTGGGACTGAATTACATCATAGGTGTAGGGGTTGTTTAAACTAATACTAAAATTAAAAACAAGTTTTTTATTTGCTATTTAAACTGAAAAGTAAATCAGAAAGTCACTATGCTTTATTCAGAAAAATAAATGCATTTGGAAAAAGTCATTCCTGTTGAGTGGAAATTGTGTTATAAAATCAGGTTCACCTTGGGGTGTCACAGCTTTCCTTACAGCTTCAGTGTCCTAATGAGGAGCTTGCATGGGGAAGGAAGGGCATCACTGACCTCATTACAATTATTAGTGTAGTTTCAAAGTTGCTAGTTTTATAGTCATGTTCTGAAAAGTTCTGTTTCAAGGGCTTTAAGGAGAGGGGAAGGGTTTTCATGAGTATTTTCAGCTCTGTGAACTACTTCGTTTGTTTGTTTTGTTAAAATAGAATGACCAAGTTGATGGAATTAGCAACCCTTCAGCCTAAAAGACCAATAAACACGAAGAGACGTGGTGTTAGAAAAAAGCAAAGAATTAAAGACTTATTGAGTGTTCCTGTGTGTGCTCCCCACAGGTTTGTATTTTTTCTGTGGCTTTTTTCACTTTTTCAGAAGATTACTCCTTTTACTAAATTGTGTTCCCTGCATCATGTTTGCTTTAGTATTGCTGTTTTAAAACAAGGATTCTTTACTGATAGCTAATTTGGTACTGAAGATGGTCTTCCCTTATCCTCATGCTTGGTTTTATTGCTCAAAAAGTCCAAATTTTCCTGTGATTTGAACTAAAGTTTCAACTACCTAATCTGTAAAGCGTGCCTGTTTAAGCTCTGTGTTTCTCTTGCTATCAAAGTAATAAAAATTCCTTTTCATAAAAACGATAACTAATTCTGTATCACAACTGTGACGGAAGCAATCCGGGTCTATTTTTTGGAATACATTTTAAAATAAAAAGTTACAATAAAATAATGATAGTGGACTTGTTTTAAAATAAGTTTGAGTTTTGGAACTGCATTTCTGTGGTCACCAGTGTAGTGTTTCTGTGTGGTCATGAGTGATTGTGAATGCATTTTTCCTAATAGCCATCTGCTTCCTCCAAGTGATTTGCTATATTTTTTTGAAGTGCCTATCTGTATTGTAATGTGGGATGTGATTCTTGGATTTTTGCTCCTACTGCCAGCCGTACTTACTGTATTTGTGTTCTGATCCACTTGATCTGTGTTGGGTGAGATTTATGAAATGGAGAACACAGGTATTGGTGGTAAACAACAATGTAAAATACATCTGGAAGAAATCCTATAGTTGACTATGCATTCATCAGTGTCTGAATCGTTAATTAACATGTTGTTGTTTTAAACAGTAATTTGCACCCCACACTGTCACCTTCAGATGTCTTTGAGCAGCCGCAGCATGTAGGTCATAAAAAAATTGAGTTTCATATTAGTACTGACATCCCAGCTGTTCTTCAGATAAACTCAGAGAAAGAAGAAAAAAATGGTAAGACTTCCTTCTTCAAATGTATTTAATATTAAAATCATCTGGGTTCAGGGTGTAGAAAGGTGCTGAAATTAGGCCAGGAAATTCTTCTGTACTGGAGCTTTCAACACCAAGTTGTGTCGTGTTTGCATTTGCTGTTTTTTAAAGGTCTCTTTCTCTCCTATGTGCTCTGTAGGTTTATGGTAAATTGCACTGCCTTTTAAATGTTGAAGTGTTTTTAGCAAATGTTACAAGTGCATTCTCAGTATTTTATAGTGTAAATTAATATGTCAGGTTAATTTCAGATTTTCCTTTTTCAGCTCTTAGCAGCATCCAAGTGATTTCCAAGTCCTTCTCTGTGGTGCACTGATTATCTGCTATAATAGTGCTGGATGATAATAGCAATGAGATGTGATGGTTTTTTTATAGGGTTATGGTCAGTCTGTGTTTCTAAGTACTTTACAGTAATATTCTTTTTTTTTTTTTTATGAAAATTAGATGAACCATTGAAACGGATATGGTCTTGAGCAGGAAGGCTTGATTTATGCTAACTAGCGTGTGCCATGGCTTTTGTTTGTAGTTCACTGGGATTTATAGGACTATAGAGCAGATGCCTTTGTCAAACCAGAGATTGACTCATTTTTTAAAGGATGTGTTCAAATTGCTTTACAAAATCTACTATACTAAAATATTACTGAGGGGAGGATACTTTTTTTGCTTGCTTTTGATCCTCTTGTAAATAAATATACAAACCACTTAAATAATGTGTTTGAAATTTCAGATCTTTCTGCAGCCACAGAAGAAATCAATAATACAGGCTTTGGAAGGATTTTCCCAGCTCCTAGCTCAAATGATAAAATGGAAACTGAAGAGGAAGATGATGAAATACCATCAGAATTTATTTCTAGAAAGGATCTAGAAAAAAATAGACTTTCCAGAGAAGGTATAACTGAGAATGTGTTATCTAGTAATAACTTTTTGATTTCTTGAAACAAATAGTTTAAATAAGTATTTCCTTTCTTAACTGATGATATATTAAATTATTTTATACTGAGTAAATATGCAAGGTAAATGAGCCTAACACATTCTTTATTTTTTGTGTTTTTTAAGAAATGGAAAAATTTTCTGTTTTCAAAAACTATGAGCCAGGTGATCCAAATTGCAGGATATATGTGAAGAATTTAGCTAAACAAGTCCAGGAAAAGGTAGGTAAACAAGCAAATTAAATATTTATCCAAAAGGGGTTTTTATAGCTTTTCTCTTATACCTACACTTTAATTTCAGGATCTCAAGTTCATTTTTGGAAGATATGTTGACTTCCAATCAGAAGTGGAACGAAATATGTGAGTTCATTTGGTACTTGGTTAGATTTAAGCTTCTTATGTTATCTTCTATGATACTGGTGAAAATTGTGATTTTAGAACTAGTCATCTTTTTTTATCTTTCTGCATAAAGAAAAAATACTTTTCATTTGAAAATCTTCATTTATCACAAGTACAGAAACAGCATTATTTTAGGAACAGTGACTGAAAACCCTACTATTTTGCCCTTTTTTTTTTGTTCCAAAATTTGCTGTTTGTTGGCTGAGTGACTCAGAATGAACAGTGTAGATGATTGTGTGTATCTGGTCATTTTGCACATGTCCTGTTCAGTAGGACTGCACACCAATTTGCCATCCTGCAGTTTGATGTTACTTTTTAGTAAATGGTTCCCCCAGGCAAAATGGTCTCCAAGGACATCATTCCTGCTTGTAGGCTTTGCTCCCATTTCTGCTATTTCTCTGATTTGATGTGTGAGAATCATTTTACTGTGAAATATGAAAGTTTTGTGAAACGCGAGTAATTCCCAATTCTGCATTTTTGCCTCTAGGTTTGATATACGTTTGATGAAAGAAGGCCGTATGAAGGGACAGGCCTTCATTGGACTTCCTAATGAAAAAGCAGCTGCTAAAGCACTAAAAGAAGCAAATGGATATGTCTTATTTGAAAAACCCATGGTGGTTGTATCCTTTTCTTCAAACATTTACATTATATTCTTTGTAAGCTGCCTATCAGTCTCTTATTTTGCTGTCAGTGTTCTACAAAAGAGGAAATACCTTAAGAAAACCAATCAGTGTAACACAGTGTACTACTGTTAGTTTTATGGTAGCTGAAAAAAAATAGAGGCACCTCTTCCTTAATAGGAAAGTAAAGGTGATTATATAAGACAATAGGATTCTCTGGTCTTAACTCTGATCCTGCAAAGATAATACAAAAAATAAGTTAGCTTGTATGACCACTGTATTTAAATTAAATACAAGCTTTTTGACTTGGTTAGGCCTATGTTTACAGATTTAAGAACATAAGGAGTGTTGGGGTCAGTTGTCTCTATTAACACAGGGTCTCCAGCTGGAACTGTCATTTTTTGATTACATGGCACTGGTTTTTGTCTGTAAGTCCTTTCTTATTTTTTACTTAATTGTTTCATAGTTTTATTTCTTTGTATTCACATTTGTCCCAACTGCTGTTCCTTTTACTTTTTTTTTCCCCTCCCAAATTCTGAGACATCAAAGTCACAGAATTAACACGCTGGGATGGAAGATTGTAGATACCAAGCATTTATCCTGCTATAGTTACTCTGCACCAAACCTATTTCCAGTTAGTTCTCCTGATTTACTTAGTATTGCAAACTCTAGGACAGTCTCTCTAATAGCTTCAGTAGTGAGTAGTGAGTAACGGTGAGGTCCTAACCTTTGACTAATGGGTGCTATTGTTATAAAGTTTATACTGCAGTAGAATTGATTCACAGGTAAAGGTCACTTTCTAGACTGTTATTTGCAGAAGTAATCTTTTTTTTTTCTTTTTGATTGGCTTCTACATATCACAGGCACTTGTAGTCCTTAACAGAATCCCAGCAATTTGCTCGTTCAGCTAGACCAAAACAGGATACCAATGAAGGGAAAAGGAAAAAATAGAACTCTGCACAAGGTACGGACTCTCTGCCTGAAAATAAAAACAAAATAATTAGGCTGGGATTTTTTTTGTAAGCGTGTGTGTTTGTTTTTAATACCTCTTAAATGGCTTCTTTAGGAATACTGGGAAATGTTCCATACAATTTTCTTTTCTTAAGTGTGTACTTACATCATGAAAACAGAGTGCAAGGTATATAGTTGGTGTAAGTTTAACATGTTGCTTCTTCCTCTGTTTAAAAACTTGGAGACTGACATTTCACTGATCCTGATATCAAAGGTTACCTGTCACTTTCTCTAATCTTTAATCTGTGGAGCCGAGGACAATAATTCTGTCGATCTGGGCCACTTACCTTTCAGTAATCTTCCAGGATTTTGGTATTGAAAAGAGTTGCCTCTTTACAAGAGTAGGGAAGGAGCAAAGTGATGCTGAAGAAGTGGTCCCAGCAACAAACTTCTGCTAGCTGTAAAGGACCTTTGACTTTGCTAACTTAGTGCTGTTGCAGCATCCTTTTAACTTATCTGAATTAGTGGAGGATCATCTGTCAGAACGTGCTGCTTAATGCTGCATTGATCAAGACTTCCTTTCGGGAATGCATAGGCCCTGATTTTTGGCATTATTATCCCATCATAACATGATGGGAAAGTAACTTATAGCAGAAAGTAATTGCTGTTATTTCTTATCTTCTTACTTCACTTTTAACTCAAGCTCTAATTTAACTGTGAGGGCTTTTGTGGCCTGAAAACATTTGCATAGTGAACTCTCCAATTATCATGTGAAGTAACTCATGCAAGAATAAGAAGCACTTAGTTCTCAATCTGCACCCTCTGATAGATCAACTAGCTCAAATTTAAAGGGCATTGAACTTAATCACTGGTTACAGTTGGGAATTGCTCTGGTTATGCCACCACTTAGGACAAAATGAACTCAAATCTTAGGCTGAGTGCTTTTCAAGCATTCTACTTAATCCATGATGTGTTTTTAATCTGGAGGTTTGATCCTTGTTACTTTGAGAAAAACTGAAGTTTGAAATAAAGGATGTTTTGATTTTTACGAATTAGTTGGAGAGCCCACAGAATGGTTATTGTGAGGGTAGTATTTCTGTTCAGAACAGTTACTTTAATTGTAGGTTCCTTGTTGTATCCATTGTCTAAGAATTTCTTAATCAGATTATGTTTTAGCTTGTTTCCCTCTTATCTGAGATACTGCTTGGTCTTAGAAGTTCCTATTTTGTATAATTGATTGTGGTTTGCAAAATCTGTATTTTGTCAAATTAAAGATAATTTTTTTTACAGGCATTCTTCTGTATTGGTCATTGAAAACAGAAATGAGCCTTGGCTAAAGTATCTTATTAGGAACAAGTGTTGATGAGACTGTGTTTCAGTCTTGTTTCTTACTCCTGCCTTGTTAACCAAAAAACTTGTATTTATATTATTTTATCTAGCATCTAATAAGAAGATTACTAAGTGTCTTTATATACAAAAAGAAACTTGAAACATTTTAGCTCTTGGAAAGCCTGATAGATGAAGCCTGAGCACTTTTATTGTTTTTAGGAATTCCATGTCTTTTCAGCTGATTTTGTACATTAATTCTGAATTCACTAAGCATGCTAAATACTTGAATTACATGAAGAAAATAAGAAAGTGCTTACTTGGTTATTAATGTTGATAGTCAACTCAAAAGTGTTTTTTAGAGTGAACAAAAACATACTTATGCAAGACTCATTTGTGCACCTCAAAGTCTTACCTGAATTGCCACCTTGCAGGTGTCATTGGTTTAATGTACCATGGGCAGAACTTCTCCCTTAGCTTGACCGTTTGTGTGCAGCAATCACGGAATGTTTAGAATGATACAGATTTGTAAGGATCCAAGAGGTTTAGTTAAAAATATTTGTTTGATTTCACAACTTATGATGAAATGAAACCCTATTTCTACATGACTCTTTTCCTTTTCCTACTGGAATTTTCTGGTGGATGCTGAGTTATGATGCAGAATTCCATTATAGAAGTCTGAGTCTGGTTTTGTGTTTCATGGGGGTTTTTGTTTGTTTGTTTGGGGTTTTTAAAATTTTTTTTTAGTATTTTCTCTATAGAGATTTTTTCCTTTGTGGAGAAGATAATACATATGGTTTATAAAAATACTACATAAGTCCTTGCTGGCTGAAATGTCTTTCCTGATTGACTGGTGAAAAGTTCAGTTAGTATTTGGGGTGACTGATTTTCCTGTAGCTAAAATACAACTTCTGGGGAGAAAGGTTATGTAGAAGAAACTGGTGCTGAGACTTCTCCAGCTTCTTCTTAGGAAGAAGTGACTTGAAAGCCAGCATTAAATGGAAACATGATTTCAGTTTTGAACCTGATGGGGGAAAAAAAAAAAAGTGAGTCTGTAGAATGGGAAAATATTGAAGGAAAACTAATAAACAGAAAAATCTAGTGGTGTCCTAGTAGTTCCAGTTATGAAAAAATGTACTTACTTTTAAATATGGAGTTTAGTGTTGATGGATCCATCAGCCCTCATTAAATCTCATAAGGTGTCAGAACTGTCTTTTATCCAACAGGCATATTTGCTTTTGATAGGTAGCATAAAGTTATGTGTATGCAATACTGAGAATCGAGTAAAATTAAACCACATTCTGCTGTTCTTCTTTAGAAACATTCCTGCGTAAATACTGCAGTAATACTGTCATGCAGAGTGTATCCTTTCTTGTTGTATCCTTTTTTTGTGCAATGTTTCCCGTAGCACTCAACTACATCGAAGTTTTCATATAGAGTAGGTGTGGGGAGGAGTTAACATGTTTAAAGCCTGAGCTAATCTGGTAATTTTGAAAAGCAAAAGGTGCTTTTTCAGGGGGAAAAAAGAAATCACTGAGTTTTCTGTGTTGTGTGAATAGACACTTTAAAGGTTCTTAGTCTTTTTCCTCAAAGGTCATATACCTTACTAATTTGTGGTCCCATTCCTTAGTGGAACAGTTCTAGCTCAAACAAGCTAATGTATGTGGAGCTGTGCTAAGCTCACACTGAGGGTGGCACTTTGTTTTCCTTTAAATAAATATTATTATTTATTTGAATCTTTATATGGACCATTAATATATAAATATATATGTTGGCTAAAACATGTTGCAAAGCAATTCTTAATATTAAGGGGTTGACAGGTATTTGTATCATTTGATGATTATTGTTGTCCTAGTATATGAGAAACAATCTATAGTTGATTCAGTTTATACAGTCCTTATTTTGTCTTTTTTGAATAAAGGAAAAAATTAATAATATCTTGCAATGAAGTATTTGAAGCTGAACTAATGCTCAACTATTAATCACTGCTACCTTTTTGTTGGTTTTTTTTTTTTTAGACTGTTCTCTGCACTGAGGTAGTGTTGTTGCCAGTGACTTTTAATTTTCTTGTGGGTTTCATACTACATTACTATTTAACTTTCTGTAATATAAAATTAATACAGCCTGCATCTATTAAGTCATATTTTTTTCAGACATTAAGCACTTTTTAAAATACTTAAACATATTTCAGTTTAGTTGTCCAAACAAAGTATAACACTGCTGTTTACTGGTGGTTCTCACTTTTAACATGCCTTTGTGATGTTCCAGGTCCCTTTTGTGTTCCATCTCTTTCAAGTATTGCCAAGCTGGGGGAAGAAGCAGTGTAATCATCAGGACTCTTGAACTGTGCGTAGTAGCATTTCTAAAGTATTTAAGGCAGACTATAAATTGGCAGACTATAAATTTTCTCATCTTAAAGATTCCACATCTTTAAAGTGTCACAAGACTTACATGGTAAATGTATGTTAGTTTGCTTGTGAAATCTAATAAATTATTGCCTTTCTCTTTGGTTTGCCTTTCTCTCTTCATTTTGGCTTCTATTGTGTGGTTTTTGAGTTGGACGGATCTTTTTCCTGTCTTGGAACCAACGGGAGGATTAGTGAGTGCACCGGCATGAATTTGTGCTGTGAAATAGGCACTGTTTTTCCTCAGTAATTAAGTTTCACTGTTCATCTGCATCTTGAAAAATGTCAGTAGTGAGACTGAAGTCATTAAAAACCAGTAACAGGTTAAGGCAGTGTTAAACCTGTGTAAGTGTGGTCCTTGCCCTGTTGAACCGTGATTAATAACAATAAATGGAGGTCACATTGTAGGATTTCTTACATATTGGGCAGATTAGTGTAATTGTCTAAAACCATGAGGGAGACATTGAAATGACATTTACTTGGCAACTCCGGTCCAGTGGGCTTAAAGAAATGTTGTTCCATAAAATACTAAATCATGGTTGATGGTCTGGTAACTGGCTCACGTAAAAGATTTATTTTGACATCATTCCAGCTGCAAGCAGTCTAAATCACTACGAGTGATGGCTGGATCAAAGTGTATCTGCTGTTTTTTCCATATGAATTGGTTTATCCATTACTATAAAATGCTTTTACTGGAATTCTTTTTTAGCTTATTTGTTGTATTCCCATGTGGATCGTGTAGTTGTTTGTTAGTTTATCTTGCTTGATTTTGGACTTGTAGACCAGGAAAAATATACTGAGAGAAGTTTTATGAGAGTGGCTGAAGGGTTTATAATGCTTAGAAGTGAGGAAAAAAGTGGCTTAATTTTTTTTTTTTTTGGTGTATTCACATGTGGCCATCCCATTATGAATAGTTTTGGTTGGTTTTTAATTATTAAAGTAAAATACAAATAAAACATGCTGTCCACCATCTTACACTGATAAACTATCAAGGAAACTATGATAATGTGTCCTGACATGTGTGTTGAGCTACAAGTACAGGGCCAAGTTATTAAAATAGTGCATAAAAGGCCAGCAAGTGAGTTTTCAAAGCAGTGAGGTAGGGTAACAGCAAGGTGGTGCTGTGCTCAAGGACAAAAATACTTTTTTAAGACGTGTGATAACTGTATCCTCAGAGCTTTCCTTTCCCAAATCTCAAGAACAAATATATTCCAGAATGTAATGTTACACCGAATCAACATAATGGTGTGTAATATAAAACTTAAGAGATATTGTCTACTTGTAGGGTTGCTAGAGTGGCTTTGACATACACAGTAACAAAGGGAGTTAATCATAGGAAAGTGTTTCTTTTCTCTGGGAATGGGCAGTAAAGTAAGCAGTTGTGTATAGTCTGTATATAACACAAAAGGACCTCCTGCCAGGAGCCGCTAGCTCGGGTAGGAGCTGCAGTGTTGGGCCTACAACAGGAACAGGAGCGAGGCAAGCTACTGTAGGAAACCAGTGGCCAACAAAACAAGCACTCCAGGGGACAGAAAAGCAAACAAATGAAATCCGAAATAGAGATCCCCAGCACAGACGGGTACCCAAGGGCCGGTGCGGGGCCGGGCTCGGCTCTTGCCCGGAGCTCTGGCGCAGTTGTGCGGGGCTCGGCCCGGCCCCGGCGGAAGGGGCGGCGCTGCGGGCTCGGCTGCGGGCCCTGCGTGCGGGACTGGGGCCAGCCCAGCACTTACGTACGGGGGTCCGGGGTCCCGCTGCTCCTCCCGGGGTGTGCGCGGCCAGGGGAGCTCCGGGAGCCGGGGGGCCGGCCCGGCGCACTCGGGACCGCCGGCACTGACCCTGCCGGGCGCTGGAGGAGCCTGTGCGGAACACGGAGAGGGTGAGCGGGGTCCCGTGGGGAGCCATTCGAAGTGACGGGGACACTGCTTTGCTGTCCTGTGGCATCTTCAGCAGGCCTGCGTCAGACCTCTCGCACATGTAAACGCTGCTGGTGGTGCGCTGGAGATTGCAGCTGAGCTTCACAGCACAGGCTAACCCAGCAGAAGACAAGGTGACCTGAGATCTCGTGCTGAGACAGCAGTGGTGCTGTGGTGCTCTTCAGAGTCCTCTCGCATATTCTCTAAAGTGCATCAGGTGTGCTCTCTTCCATAGGGGAATACAGGCCTATTAGCTTTTTTCCAAGTTTCAAAAACGTTGTGAAACTAGAGCCATCAGAATATGGTGGGGATTTCAACATCCCCATTCTCTTATCATTGCTCGTACTGAAGACAGAACAGCCATATACCTATTTCAAAGAAATTAAAAACAGCATTGGGTCTTTAAACATTAGGCCTTGGAGCTGGTTAGGTCAAAGTATATTAGTCTTACTTTGTGTAATTTACTGCTTTGTGTACTTACTGCTGTAAGTAAAACTTGCCAGTCTGATAAATGGCTTCTCTCATCAGAGAAAATCAAACCTTCTTAGGTCGTTTTCTGTTAATGTATGGTCTTCCTATCAGGGCAAAGAAGCATTTTTTCATGAAAATGGATGCACACAACATCTGCTTGTGGCTGAAATTTATCTGTATACTTTACCAAGATCTACAAATAAATAATTTCATTAAAATTATTTTGTTCACTAGCAGAAAAGCAAGCTAAATATACGAGATGAGTAATTCTAATTAACTCTGTCTACTTGTGAAGAATAGTGACATCTGATAGCAATGGGCTCTGGAAAGCAAATTCTATAGTGTATAAACTGGTGTATTTTGTGCTTGAATTTGCTCCAAAGATTGTAGATCCACTGCCTGATGGATATGAATTATCGTTTTGTGGAAGTCATGTCAGATTTGATATAAACTTTGGCCTGGCTATCTGTATCATAGCAGCTTGGAGTTTTCAGCAGTGCATTGCCAGATGTGTATTAAATCAGGAAAGGCATTGGTTTATTTGTGTAGCAAACCTGAAGGCCCTTCTGTTCATGTTTAAACCTTCTGTGAAGTGTTTGGTGTCCCCTATAATAGCACCTAGGCATCCCCCATTCCCTCTTTGTCCTGTGTTGTTTCTGTGTTAAGATAGTTTTTTAAAATAAATAGATACTAAGAGGAGAATAACAAAATTTTGTGTTTTGTTTTTTAAGGGAGGTAGTAGTTCAACCTTTTGTTTGTAAAAGGCCTTCTTGTAGTACTTTTTGTATCTCGGACCATCTAAATCGACTTCTAAACACGAAGAGTGCAAACCAAGATCCTAAATAGAATAATGCAAACCTTAGTTGTTTAACTTCCTGTTTGTTACACATTGCATCTCTTTAGGTGAGAAAAAGGAGAGGCAATTTAAATATAAGGCTTGTCTTCTGTGTTTGTCCACAGGTAAATACAAATAGGATATGAACTGGGAAATAGAGTTCCTAGCCTAGCTTATCAGAAGGTAGGGATTTTCCTCCTCTGAAAAGCTCCTTCAAATGCAGAACTCTGTACCTTGGCCTTGAGAAGGAGATTTCTTGATTATGGAGCTTCACAGCACTCCTAATGTCTGCTATTGCCTTGTGTTCTTTGGGGGGATAAAATCTCCACGGAAATTGTACAAGTGTACAGAGATCAGACATTCACATTTCTGGTTTTGAGTCACTATAATACTTTCTGTGTCTGAGAGATCTTCCAAGGTTAGGGCAGTTGTTTGGATGACAGGTGTCATGAATATCATGAAGGACAAACACCCATGTTAGATCTCCAAAATATGTGGGGGTTTGTGACAGCTCACAATAAGAAATATTCTGCTTTTCCAAGGTCTTATCTAAATATGTCCAAGTCATAGTAACATCATTTTGAAAAAAAACAATGCCTCTCAAGGATAAATAGGGATTAAAATGAGAAACAAAATGCCCATTTTAGTTTATATAAGAATGCTTTTGCCTTTTGGGGTTGTTTTTGGCTTTATACTAATAAAAATGCAACTTAGAGTAGAGAGCCTATCAACATCTTAGTTGTAACTTCAGGAAAACAAAGTTACAGTGAGTATGGGAGGTTGATATAGCATAGATAGAATCCAGTTCTCATACAGAACAACAATCGAGTTAAATATAGTGCCAGAGGTGGGCATTTCCTTTTAAATGTGTATTTTCTAACATGTACTTTACCCTCTTGCAGGAACAGAAATAGGCAGTAGGAAGAGCACAGCTGATCACAGAGCACAGGATGGGTATCTATTTTCTCCTGTTAACTGTGGGGCTTTGCTGGGGGCAGTACAACCCCCACACCCTCTCTAAGAGGACATCTATTGTGCATCTCTTTGAATGGCGCTGGGAGGACATTGCCCTGGAGTGTGAGCGCTATTTAGCTCCTAATGGATTTGGAGGAGTTCAGGTATGTCTGTTCCTGTCAGTAGGTAGTAAAATTGCTACATGGGTGATAATTTGTTTTTCAGAGAAAATGTTCAATTCGCCAAAGATACGGAGAAAGAAAAATAGAAATTGGTAATGGAAGTAGTAAATGCTGACAAAATATATTCTTCAGCTATCACTGAGAAAGCATGACTTTATTTCATTGTTCCAAAGTGCACATTATGCATTCTGTGCTATTACATTTAGATGAATTAGAATTGTATATTGTTGGCTGAATCTTTTTTTTTTACTGCTGTGAAGAGTAACCCATGTTTATCTGCTTGATATTATTTAAATCGAGGGAAGCTCTTAAGAGCTAGATAAACATAAAATAGCACTATGACTGACAAAATTGCTCTCAGAATAATAAAGTGCTGAAGGTTTAAGTAATTAAGTATAAAAAACTGCTAATTGTGTTCACCCAGACTGGCATGTCTCTCTCTGTTAAGCGAAGTGTCACAGTAAGCCATTAAGAGACCCTTCTTTGGAGGAACCTGGTGTGAACAGGCAGAATTGAACTGAACAGGGGTTCTGGTGGGGGTGTGCCTGTGTGAGTCTGGTCTGTCTGAACAACAGACACATTTCCTGTAGAACCAGTACTGTCGGATGGGTGGAGTAACGTGGCTGGAGGGCAGACACCTATTAAGCTATTTCAGTTTGCTCATCAGATTGCTCAGGAAAAATTGGTGAGAAGCCTGCCCTGTCTCTTGTAGCCCAGAAGTTTGCAAGTTGGCCTGAGTAAGAACTCTCCCATAATTTTCAAATAATAACAGCTTTTCTTTGCAACCTTCTTTCCAGGCACACAGACCTGATTGATTTTTAAACTGATTTCTCAGACTATGGTATATGCCTATATGTCTTTTTAAGCCATTCTTTGATAGTGTCCCAGAAAGAAAGGTTTTTCAGATGATGACTTGCTGAGATGGCCACGAAGCTGTGGCAGCTAAGTAGGCTGCAGCCTAGAGATCTTTCTGAGAAATGGTGGGATCAGGTGGTTATGCCCAGAGACTTGGAGATAGCAGCAAAAGCTTGTTGCCTAATAAGTATCCTGAACAGAATATGTGAAATTTTAGAAGAGGTATAACCCACCTGGAAACTTACAAGAATTAGGTCAAGAATACTTTTATCCAAACCATTACAATAATGGGAAGTTGGATCAGTTTTAAGGGCAGGATGTTACATCAGTTTTAATGCAGTCAATTCCTTCCTGATCCTATATCTGCTGACCTAATTCTTTGATTTCAGATTTATTTTTTTTATCTTTGAGGCCTGCAATAACAAAGATAATTAGGACACTATGTCCATGGACCTAATTTTTATAGGATGTTTCTACCTGCTGAAAGGCAGGCCTGTCTTTTATTTCCAGTGTAAGCAGGGGATACTGAGTATCTATATGGCTTATGTTCTTTCTCTAATAGAGGGCAAACAACCACTATCAGTAACCTGTTACCAAGTACCATTGTTTTATTCACAGATTTCACCTCCAAATGAAAATATTATTGTTACTGACCCCAAGCAGCCATGGTGGGAAAGATACCAGCCTGTCAGCTACAAGCTGTGCTCACGATCTGGAAACGAAACTGAATTTAGAGACATGGTGACCAGGTGCAACAATGTTGGAGTAAGTGCTTTGGAAACCTTCTGGTGTTAACAATGCAAGGATATAGACAAGCAGTAATTTAGAAGGGAAGACATGGTAGCACTGGAGTGAAGATGGTGGGTTTTTTTGTAGAATAATTTGGTTTGGAAGGGACCTTAAAAGGTCATCTAGTCGAGTAAGTCCCAATAAGCAGGGACATCGTCAACTAGATCAAGTTCCTCAGAGCCCTATTCAATCTGACCTTGAATGTTTCCAGTGATGGGGCATCTACCACCTCTTTGGGCAACCTGTGCCATTGTTTCACCACCATCATTGTGAAAAAACTTCCTATATTTAGTCTAAGCTTGGCCTTGTTGAACCTCATGTGAGTCCCCGTGGCCCCACTTCTAAAGTTTGTCCAGGTCCCTCTGAATGGCCTTTCATCCCTCAGGTGTGTCAACTGTATCACTCAACTTGGTGTCATCTGCAGGCTTGCTGAGGGTGCACTTGATCCCTTCATCTGTGTCATTGATGAAGGCACTAAATAACACTGGTTCCAATATGGATTCTTGAGGGACACCACATGTCCAATTTCCATCATGAATCTGAGCCATTGGCCACTACCCTCTGGATGTAACCATCCAACCAATTCCTCATCCACTGAACAGCCACCCATCAAATGGAGAGAAGGATGTTGTGGGAGATGGTCTCAATGGCCTTACAGAAATACAGATTAATGACATCTGTAACCATTCCTTTGTCCACTGATGCGGTCACTCTATCACAGAAGGCCACTAGATTACTCAGGCAGGACTTGGGTGAAGCTGTGCTCCTTGTCTTAAATCACCTTCTTGTCCTTCATGTGCTTTAGCGCAGTTTCTAGGAGGATCCAGGCTGGATGGGGCTCTGAGCACTCTGATCTAGTGGAAGGTGTACCTGCAGGTGGCCACGGGGTTGGAACTAGGTGATCTTTAGGATCCCTTCCAACCCAAATCATTCTATGATTTTGTGATCTGTTCCATGATCTTCCCAGACACAGAGGTGACACTGACAGGTCAGTAGTTTCCAGGATCCTCCCTTCTACCATTTTGAAAAATGTTATTTGCATGTCTGTCGAGCTGCATGCTGTATCCCCATTGCTGTATGCTAATAAAAGAAAAATAATTTGAATAAGGTGTTATGTGAAGCAATCAGGCATATATGGGGGGATAAGGCAGAAGGTGTGGGAGAGAGAACATTAATTAGTGGTGCTGTGGGAAGTAGCTTTCTCAAATTGTTATGTGAATATTATTCTCTAGGTATATATTTATGTGGATGCAGTAATCAACCATATGTGTGGAGCTAATGCTGGTGCTGGCGACCATGCCACTTGTGGAAGCTATTTTAATGCAAAGACTGAAGATTTTCCAGCTGTGCCGTATTCTGGCTGGGACTTTAATGATGGTAAATGTAAATCTAGAAGTGGAGACATTGAGAATTACCATGATATATCTCAGGTAAACCTAGAACTATGGTTTTGGTGTACATCTGTTCCTGTGCTGTGGTTTCTTTGCTCTTGTCTACAGTTAGACATTTTTTAAAACAAAATGGCTCATGGAAAACCATCCAAATTAATAATAGATGTTAGTGTTGCTATCAGGAACACCACTTCTTAAAGGGATTGCTCTATTAGAGACAATGGCTTTGTTTCAGATTTAGGCAAATGTGCTTAGGTATTCTATAAAGACAATTTAAAGCTCATAAAATCTATTTAGTGACTATCTTGTGTGGGAGTTTTGTGTCAAAAAAGAGTAGGAATTATTGTTTGCCTTTCATTTTAATTTGGAAGTTTTCTTTGGCCTCAATTTCAGAAAAGAGAGATTAGGATTTTTTAAAGGAAAATAGTAATGCCAAAATCTTGAAAATTGACCTTCTGTTCAGATATTTCCTAGGATTTTATCTATTCCTCTGTGTTAGATTATGAGGTTAGGACTTTATAACTACCACAGAATAAAAAATTATCTTCTAAAGATAAATACCTACCTTTCTTGAATAGTGTCTTATGCCTTTCAAATGCCTTTGATGTTTCCTGAATCTAAGTTAAGGGGAAAGGGGTTTTGGAGAAATGGCAGTTCTGAAGGAGCATCTTTATAGCCAGTTTTTTAGTACAGTTTGCAAGATAGACTAATGCACCTTGCTCTTTCCAGGAAGATGTGCATAGCCATGGAAACCCATAATGAGAGTTCTGAGAAAAAGCATCTCAGTATATTCAGTGTCTGTTTAAAGTATTCTTTTGATGAAAATCAATGCCCATCATTTTGAATTTGCAGGAAACAAGAGTTTAGTTTTAGAAGGCTAAAGTAACTTGAGATTTTGAAATGATTTAGAAATATGATTTCTAGAAATCTTCTGTATATCAGAGAAGAAATGAGTGCACTGAGTAAAAAACAATTTATCATACTTTTGCCTTACACTTGCATTTAAAAAGCC